AATACTCTTTATTTGCTTTCCACTTTTTGCTTTTCACTCTTCTTCTGGCTTTAGCCATTTTATTAAAAGTGTTTTCCTTTTCAATAAATAAAAGTCTACTGGCAGTTTACTCAAGAAAGAAAATTATATTAATACAGCCTTTTTATTATTTTTCAAAAAATTCATTGATGTAAAGCCATTAAAAATATTGTGGCTTCAAGTTTTTGATTAAAAAAAAAATCCTGTTAGGGATGTTAGCATTCTGTCCTCTCTCCACAGAATTGTTGATTTGAACTTTAGTAGTATATGGCATTCCTGCCTTGTTTCCATAGATATATTAAAGCATCTGCCAGGTTCCTGCTTTGTGACAGCTTCTGTCTCTGAATAAAATATTCTTGTTGAGAACACAAAACACCTTCCAGGAGCGTAAAGGGTTTTATATGGTATTAGTATTGTGAGAAACTCAACATTTGTCTTGTAGTTCAGCAATACTACTAAAAATAAAAAGCAACCTAGTACAGTTATAAAAGAGACAAAATGTTTGAAGGAAAAAGCAAGCTGAAGTTCTGAAATTAATTTCATACTCCATTGTGTATTACTTTGTGGGACCATCATGACAAAGTATCACAAGCTAGCCTAAGCAAAAGAAATACATTGTCTTCCTGTTTTATGGAATACAATTCAAAAGTCAGTGTATTAGCAGGTTTGATCCCAGGGAACTGAGACCTGTGAGGAAAGTAACTATCTGTATTTCTCCTTGACTAGGTCTAGCAGCTACCTACCTGTGTCATTTTGTTACCTTTCTTTTATATCTTTCTCTGTGTCTGTATTTCTTGTCTATTGCACATCAGTAATATCTAAGGAGGTTCCCTACCAATGACCACATTAAAATGGTTGTCTCTGTAAAAATCTTAACTCCAAATCAGGTTGTTTTCCAAGACACTGAGGATGAGTATTTTAGTAAAAATTTCAGTCCACTGTACCTTAAAACACCAAGAGGAAGATATTTTACCCACAATTCCTTGAGCTATAGTTTCCTCTGGTCACTCTAGCCAACATACTTACATAATCTGATTCAAATTTAATAATCAAGAAAATTAATTCTTTATTAAACAAACAAAATAAGCACTGTTGGTGAAAACAATTACCATTTTGGTCAATCTCACAACAGCATGCATATGCAATTTTGATATAAGAAGAAAATCTTGCAGTTTCTTCAAATTTTATCTTTTGTCCTCAGTCTGCATGTTTCCTAATATGAAAAATATTCACTATAGATTTTCTATATTCTTTAGACACAGATTGGATATGCACTGTATGTGTACATTTATGAAGGTTCTCATTTAGCATATGTAAGACTGTAATGCTACGTACTGACAGAAGACAATCCAATCACACACTCTTCACTATATTTAGCCAAGGAAAGAAGTGAATCACCTTTGTGGTGTCCTTATAGAGCAGGTGTCAGCACAACATCTGCCTCCACGACTTCTTCATCCCTAATCTTCATGTTCATTCACTAAAACTGTTAAACTTTTCTTGAGAATACCCATGCAAGTCAGGGGCTTGCTTTGACTAAGAAGTTCAATTTTTGATACTTCAACTTCTTCTAGTTTCTTAAGAGCTTACAATGCTATTGAAGAATTTGCAAAGCTAGCATATACTGATTGTTCATAAACCGTGGGATCGCCATTAGTTGACCCTAACTCAAAGGCTGCATGTCTGACTTCTAAATAATGAACAAGAGACCAGGAGCAGATGCCAAATTTCCTTAAGTAATTATCTTGTCTCTCTTTGTTTTGACCTCCCGGAAATCTCTCTTTCCTTCAACTTTTTAGAGTTGACAAATGATAGCAAATGAAACTGAAAAAGACCCTAATTGAAATATATAGCACCAATAGTTTATTTCCTTTGTGATCACTGCATCAGCTTAAAGACTTCCCGAGATGTAGTTCAGCTCCTTGTGAAATGATAAAGTGGAAACAATTGTGCTCAAGTCTTCATATCAGGTTATAGTTTGCATTTTCATTTGTTTACAACCCACAGTCTACTTTATACTATTTTTCATTGTTATTGATTTATTTATATGTTGCAAAATCTGGTACATTGTTATGGATCCTGTACAGCACCTTAAATTCTATAGCTAGAAGTCAAAGATGCTACTAAATCTTCTCTACCATGAAAGAGAATTGTATTATGTATTTGATACTGTGTGTGCCTATATGTTTCTGTATCTCTATGAGAAGTAAATGAAAGTATGTTTTTAATAAACAAAAACATTTTGAAATATGAAATAAAGTGAATTTTGTAGAATTATGTATTCATTAAACTTCCGAGCTTCATAAAATATTAAGATATAAGAATATTTTTTTTTCATTCATGACAAGATCATTTTGTCACTTGGAACCTTAGTCCTCAATGCATAAAAGAAAAACTCTCTTCAGTAAATTTTTAAAATAACGACATATAAATATCCCTTTAAATGCACTTCAAGTAATTTAAAATTCATATTAAATGTTATTATTTTTCTTTCAAATTTCATAACCAGCTCATAATAAAATTATTTTCAATGAATTTAAAATTGGTATGACCTCTTTCCATACATCTATATTATATATTTATATCCTATATTTTATATAGTAATATATACTGATATATGTTATGTAATATAAAATACATATTGAAACTTAAAATAATATAATATAACATAATACATAATAATATGATTTATATACATACATATAGTACCAAATTTAGTCATGATAGTTAACATGGAATGTTATTCATTTAAAGTTTAAAGAATTTGATCAAATTAGAAGGCAGACAGAATTATAACTAATATTCAATTTAGGAAAAAAAAATAAAGGTTCAATATCTGAATCATCTGGGAGGGGTTTTTTATGCAAAGGCAAGAGTAGTTTGAATGGAAACCTACATTATTTATAGAATTGATGCTGTGTTGTTATAAAGAGACTTCTTTACAAAGGAGTTCATAATACAAGTATGTGGGATTTGGAACTGCCCCATATGCAGTCTAAATGATAAAAATATATGACACCTTTTCCTTAATTCAGATAACAGACATCATATCTTGAGGACATCACATGCATAACATTCAACTAGTTTTCAATGACAAGTGATAAATAATAATTTACCCAAACTTTATGTAGATACTGTGAAAAACATCCTGACTGAGAGGTCATGAAAACATGAGACTTGGGTTCCAAATAAGATTGTAGAATCCCATTTCTTAGAGATAAAAATAGCATATCTGTCTTCTCGGAATTACTTTATTGCAGACCTAGGATTAAAGCAGAGATGAATGAAGCAGTATTAGAGCTTCATTCTAGGACTGTAACTAAATAAATTTCCTGCATTCACCATTTTCACCTTGTAACAGATTCAGCAATGCAGCAAAATTACGAGGCAACCTCATTTCTTAGGGTTGTAGCAATGTCACAGATAATTAAATAGAAACTGGGGCTTTGTCCTGGTTTCAATAAATTGGCCAGCTGGACCACCCACAACATCTCCCTAGCAGAATGTTAATAAAAGCCTGAGGGAGGTCCCACAAACTATTGGATATTTGCTACAGAAGATACAGTTCTGGGCATAATCAAAACACATTTTTAGCATTCCTGTTGTACACAGATGTAGATTTGTAGATTTTTAGGCAGTCTAGAAAATATCAAAATTAATGAAAAATATTGGAAATCTTGGTTTTTATGTCTCGCTTTATGGTATTAGTAATATAACAACTTACAGTAGCTAATACTTAATACTCAAGGGAAGAACATAGCTTCAGTTTAAATAAAGCCCAACCTGGCACATTTTATTTATAGATTTCATGATTAAGAACAGACCCTGCTTAACATCTTGTCTTAAATCAACCTTTCTAATACCTGAGTTTTTCACTTTTCAGTTATCAGTGCTATTAAAATTGAAATCAGTCTAACAGAAAAAATAAGTTTAAAAGCAATGAAAAATATCTCAATTTATGTTCAATTAGCTGAATTAGATTATGAAGCATGATGTAAACAGTAACACCCAATATTATCTAAGAATTTAGTTAGTTTAAAGTTGACAACTGAGAGACACAATGGAAAATAAGATCCTGTACTTCCTTTTGTGTGTTTCCAATAATTTAAATTAATAAAAACTATATTTCTCCCATATCTTCAATATTTTAGATTAATGATACTAATTATTTTTAATAGATTTGTTACAGAAATTTTCATATTTTCTAAATTATAACAATAATTTTAAAAACCCTTAGATTCTGATAGTGCTAATTTGTCTTCAGTTTTTTAAAAAAGGAAAACTCTCATTACAAGATCTGCTCCCCAGGGATCCAATTGCTGACTATAATTTTTAATGGCAATTTTCTCATTTGTCATCAATTCGGACATATTTATTTTTAGTCAGCTTGTTTATCAATTTAAAAATTAAAATTCTAAATGTTTTCATAAAAGTTAAATTGACATACCAAAAACATTGAAACTAAAATTTTAGAACATTTCCTTTATCTAAATAGTATTTAAATATGAATGCTTGTTTCTTTTCTGTTTATTTTAAAATATTACCTGTGTCAAGTCAAGAATAAAGTCTAATGAAAAGACTCACTACAAAGCTTTCCCATGATATATGTGTCATGTTTATTTATAAAATATTTCAAAATCTTAAAAATTTTAGGATTATAGCATAATCTTAACAAACACCATAGAATTTGAAGAAAAGAAAAAAGTTTTTTATTGACATGTAGCATTAGAAAAATAACATATTCTTCTCCATATCACCAACAAGGGGTGATATTTATGTGCAAAGAACAGGGATCCTTAAATATATAAACATATAAAAGAGAAATATCAATATCACATAAATAATAATGACTTTCATGTGATAGAAGTACATGCCTCTAGTGTAGCTAAAAAAGAGATGCAAACATGAAAGCTTGACATAGAAAAGTATCAGAGATCTTAAAAATTATTAAAAGAAACCAATGAGATTAAAAATTCCACTGAGTGCTTACTTTGGCAGCACATATAATAAAATTGGAATGATACAGAGAATATTAGAATGGGCCCTGTACAAGTATGACATGAAGTTCGTGAAGTGTTCCATATTTTTATATCCTCTTTCCTAATGGTCACTGGCAGGAAAACTGAGGCTCTGATACAAAAATAAAAAATAAAAAAATAAAAATAAAAATTCTATTGAAAGTATGTTCTGCAGAAGCAATCCATGTGAGGATGGTATATCTGACCTAAAGGATCATGAATGGTGATCAGTGAAAGGTATCTTCAAATCAAAAAGAGAACAAGAAAAATGGCTCCAATAGCTGCTACATGAGGCAGACTAATCAAAGATTATTTGGAATTAGGGAAAACTCAGAAGATAGGCAAAAGGGTATACAAAAGCTGTTTACCAAAGAAATAGCAAAAAACAATTTGACATACAAATAAATGTGACATGTAAAAGCCCCAAAAGCCACAATCAGAAAAGAAATATTCCAAGACACATCATGGTCAAAATGTCAGAAATTCAACACAAATACAGAATCTTAAAGGATTTTAGAGATAAACAAGAAGTCATTTACAAAGAAACATTTTAATTACAGCAGATATTTCAAATAAGCCTTAAAGCCAATTCCTGGTCAGAGAAACTTTTGTTCTGCTGGGCATGAAGTTATACAGTTATAATTCCAAGGCATAGAAGGCTAAGCCTAGAAGACAGCCGTGAGATTGAGGGCAACTTACCCTTCATGATGAGTATAAGTCCAGCATGAACTACAAAGCAAGACCTTGTCTCAAAAATGAAATCACTAATGGGAAAACAAAATTTAAAAAAAAAAATAGAAGAAAAAAGTCAACTAGGGCTTGGAACGAAGTGTTTTAAACCCTGAAAAAAAAAAAAAAAAAACAACTTGCAACTTATATTAATATATTCTGCACACATATTTTTTTTAAATGAGTGAAGTAAGATATTTTCATGATAAACAACCTAAAGAATTTCATGACCAAGAAAACAGCTTTCTGAAAAACACTCAAGGATATCCTAGAAAGAGGCAATGAATCTAACAGCAGTATAAGGTCTAATAGTAAGACTGTGCCAGGTAGGATTAGCAGTTATACAGAAGGAAAAGAAGGGGTAAGCAGGAGGGAAATAACACAGTGACAACAGTAAGGCAGTATCTGTCAGTTTCAACTATCAGTGTGTGTGGTCTCAAGTCTCCCATCCAAAATCATTGGCAAGGTGGATCAAAAAGCAAAATCCAATAGTGTCCTATATACAAGAAACTCATTTAACCTCCTTCACAGATTAAATATTAAATGATGGGAAACAATGTTCAATACAATGGAAACCTGAAAAGAAGAAGTAGCTATCCAGTTTGAGACAAAGTAAACTTTAAGACAAAGTAGATCAAAAGAGGCAAAAAGTGACAAATCACACTTATTAAAGAAATTTCAACAGGAAAATATAGCAATTATAAACACATACGCACCAAAGTTTCAACCAACATTATAAAACAAAACAAAAACAAATGTTATTACTTATCATAAAAGATCAGATAACTGTCACTAAAATATAATGGAGGACCTTAAAACATCACTTCCACAAATAAAAAATGCAACTACAAAAAAGTAACAACAAATACTAAGAGTTGAATTAAACTTTCATAGACTTAATAGACATCTACAGAGTGTTCCACTCAACAACAACAGAATATACATTCTTCCCATTAACATATGAAACTTTCTTAATAAACCATATAATAATAAACACATTTAATAAAATTCAAAGGAATCAAAATTTTACCATAACATCAGATCATTTTTCAAGAAAATTAGAAAAAAAAATGCAACTGCATGAAATTAAACAACACACCCACTTGAAAAATCAGTGTCATAGAAAAAATAGTAAGAAATATGACAGTTCCTAAAATGAAATGATAAAGCCAGAGAAACATACCAGAGCTTATGGGACACAACGAAAACTGTACCAAGAGGAAAGTGTGTAGATATAAATGTCCATGACAAAATCGAGCAAACTCTAATAAATTAAGGATGCAGCTCAAGGTCCTAGAAAATCAGAAACGATCTTCAGTGATGCTTAAGTTTACAAGCTTAATTTTCTCCATGATTCTTTTTGCAAGCCAAATTAGTTGTTAACTAAATCAAATTCAGTGATAAGGTTCAAAGTTGAGAAATGTGAAGAAAGTTGATTTTTCTCATGAGCAATTTGGTTTGCAACCAGAATTGTGGAAAGAATCAAATTCATGAACAGAGGTACCACTGTAAATAAGAGGTAATGCAAGGTGCAAATTATAGAGATCACAGCAAAAGTCCATGAAATGGAGACTAAAAAAAAGAAAAGATTTAATTAATTGAAGAGCTGCTTCTTTAAATTATAAACAAAATAAATAAAGTTTTATGAAAAACAAAGCCAGAAACTGTGATTAGAAATGCAAAAGATGAAATTACAAAAGACACCACCAAAATCCAAAAGATTATTAACAACTACATTACAAAACTGCACGCCAATATACCACCAAATTTAGAGGAAATTAATAATCTCCAAAATACACATGAATTAATTAACCTGTAACAAGACTTAAAAAGCTCAAATAAAATAATAATTGACAATGAACACGAAAGAGTAATAAACTTACCAAGAAAAATTCAGGCCACGGTGGATTCATTGCTGAATTTGACAAGAATTTCATAGAAGATCTAATCATAATACTCCTCAAACTCTTAAATAGAATGAAAAGGTGTATTCCCAAACTCATTGCCATCAGCTAAAATGACTCCAATTCTAAAACTGGACATATGTCCAACCAAACAAGAGAGTTAGAGATCAATCTGTCAGATGAAGATAGATGCAAATTTCCTCAACAAGGTACTAGCAAACAGAATGCAACAAGTCATCAAAATATCAAACAACATGACCAAAGTCCTTCATCCCAGGGATGCAAGGATAGTTAGTTCAACCCAGGCAAGTAGATAAATGTGTAATAAATGACATAAACAGAAGCAAAGACAAAAATCACAAGATCATTTTTCAAAGACATAGAAAAAGTCTTTTACAAAATGCACATACATTCCTGATAAAAACTCTAAAGAAAATGAATATAAAAGGACCTTATCCAAACCAGATAAAAACTATTTGCAATCAATGTACTTCCAACATCTTATTAAACAGGAAAAAAACTGAAAGTATTCCCTCTAAAATCAGAAACAAGACACGGGTATCTGCTGTCCTCACTTCTGTCAAAATAATTTTCAAAGCATTAGTCAGGCAACAGAAAAAATAAAAGAAGTAAGTATTTTGAAAGAAGAAATAAAATTTTCATTTTTTGAAGATGACATGATCCTCTATACATAAGACTCAAAAACTCCCATCCAAAGAATAAATAGCAAAATTCAGCAATGTAGCTGCTTAACAAATCAACACACAAAAATTAGTAGCATTTTTGTACCCTAATAACTGAAAAAAATTAAGTATCATTTTCAAAAACAAGGAAAATAGTATTTAGGAATTAATCTTACCCAGGAAGTAAAAGAACTCTATAAGAAAAATTATATCACACTAAAGAGGAAGATAAAAAAAGACATCAGAAAATGGAAAGATATTCCTTGTCCCCAGACTGAATAGGCAGAAAGAAGGTAGTTAAAATCAAAAGAGGCCCACAATAACAAAAGACCTCCTGGGTAGCAACAGCAAAGCAGAAGGTTTTACAATCTCACATCTGAAATTGTATTGCAAAGTTACAGAAATTAAAGAGCATAGTATTGGCAATAATGGAGGATCAGTGGAATAGTAGATGCAAAAATAAGAAAAAAGCCCATGCACATTAGCTATTTCATACAAGACAAAGGAACCAAGAGCATTCACTGGAGGAATGGCAGACTCTTAATAAATGGTTCGGGAAATTTGGGTATCCACATGCAGATGATTGGGTCTAGGGACAGGTATCTCATTATGTATTAAATAAAATAAAAATGGATCAGACATCTAAATGTTAAAACAGAAACATTGCTCTGTTGGAAGATAAAATAAGTAAAACTCCTGAAGGCAAAGACTTTCTGAACACAAGAGTAGTGGCACAAAAAAAGAAAACCGGGGATCAATAAATAGGATCTTATCAAATTTAAAACCTGCACAACAAAGCAAAGAACTAACTTAGTGAGGAGACAACCTACGGAATGGCAAAAAAATCATTATTGACAGCTGTTTTTTGGACAAGAGAATAAGGTCTCACACAAAGAATTAAAAAATAAAACAAAAAAGAGAAAAGAATCCTCCTAAGTAAAAAGGCCTAATCAATAAATGGGCAACTTAAATGGACTTCTAGGAAAAGAAAGTAAAAACAACCAAGAATTACATAAAAACATTCTACATTTCTGGCCATGAAAGAATGCAAATTAAACAATAGGAACATATTATCTTACTCCAGAAAGAAGGGCTACTGTCAAGAAATCAACTAATACTAATAATGACAAAGCAATCTTTAACATTTTGTTGGGTATATAAACTAGCACAACCACTATAGAAGTCAGCATGGAGAGTCTTCACAAATTAAAAGTGGAACTCTCATTTGATCCTGTTTTTCTACTCCTTGCAATCTTTCCAAAACAGATAAAATATCATCTTGGAGTGATATACATGCACCAATATTCATAGTAGCACAATATTAGTAGTAATATGCCTATTAACATATAAACGGATAAAGACAATGTGGTATTATAAAAGAATATTTTTCTGTCACACAGAAGAATAAAGTTGTGGTGTCTGTCAATAAATAGAGGCACATTGAGATTATAATATTAAGTGATAAAATTTAGACACACAAACTTAAATATTGCATACTTTTTCTTATAGGAGAAGCCAAAATGTAAATAATGAGCACAATAACAGAAACATAAGAGGAAATAAAGAAATGCTGTTTTGGTTAACAAGAAATGGGAATAGGGGAAGAGAAGAGAGGGAAAAGGACCTGAAAAATAATTGAAAGGAAAAAAAAAAAATAGAAGTAGAGATATTGCAAATGGGAAGGAGACCAGGATTTGGAAGGAGAAAGGAAAAACGGAAGGTGTAGGGGAAATATTAATTAGGATGTGTTATCT